CAGGACTAACATTTAGCCTAAAACATCAAGTAGATTTCATATACCTGGTGATCCAAGCCCATAAAACTTTTAATTGTTAAATATTTTAAAAATATTTGAAGAATATTTCAAAAGTTTTATAGCTTCAGTATCACAGTAACTGCACACAGCCAGACGTGTCATAGCAAACTCAGTAAGTTTTACAGCCTGACAAGAATAGCTACTTGGAGAAAGGAGCTCTGTTGATAAAATGATAGAATAGTAGCAGATAAAATTTGGAAGTTTCCCTTTTGGGAAGCCACTGAGATATTTTAGACCATTGGTTCACTTGGCTCTGTGCCTTTTGAGTCAGATACTGAACAGGACATGGATGAAAAAAAAACCGGTGTGATCTAAATTTCAGATCGTAAATTCCAAAGTATTAGGAGGAAAATACTCAAGTTGGTTGTTCCACTGGTTTCCCACAAAATGGAAAACTTTTGTTCTGCCTTCTCAAGGAGCACTCTCTACTGTGATCCATAGGATCTTCCTGTTGAGAGCAGCAAATTATTTAATCTGTAATTATAGCACTCTTCTAGCAACAAAAGGCCATAGCCAAAATCATTGCAAGGACTCATTAGGAGGCCATTGAACAGCCAGTGATTACTTATAGTAAAGGTAAAAACCTGGGCTTGGGAAGAAATCCTGTGAAAGAGGTTCCTCTGAAAAGGAGATCCCAGTGAAAACATGGAAGCAGGCAGACTGGGAGGAAAGGCTTCTTTTGGTGCTGTGCTTGTCATGGTCAGAAACAGACTAGATACACGAAAATGCAGTTCAGACAGAGTGCTCAAAACCCATCAGCAGTAGGTGTTGGGGCAGCCAGAGGAAACAGGCCAAAAGACTGCTAGTGTTCAGAATGTTTATATAAATTATGCCTCAAAACACATGCTGGGATGATGGAGCCTGGTCTACACACACACACTGGGGCTGGATCACAATCACACAACATTAGCTTAAGCATGGAGAAGCTGCTTAGTGTGTGGGTGCTATTAAATATCTTTTTTTTATAGTCTAAATGCATAGTTTAGCTGGTTATGGTGCTTTTTCTATATTGAATAGAAATTACAAAAGAAGAGAGAATGAATGCACTTAGGTTTGGGTTTTAAGAATAGCAAAGGTCTCTGACTTGTCCAGCCCTCAATGTCTTCCTTCTTCTGGTGGGATCTCTTACCTTGCAGCAGGGAATTGGTAAAAGCTGTGCTACAATTCTGAAGGCTAGCTGGTGCCAGGGACAGAGGTTTACTTCAATTTAATCTTTATATTTGTTTGAAGGAATAGAATAGTTTCTTTGGCTTAATTACAGTTCTTTATATAGTCCATGCTGGGGAGGTGCTCCCTTATAGATTTTTGGTGGTATCAGATATACTTGATTTTTCACAAAACCCTACAGAACATTATATGAAGAGAACAGCTTATATATGAGGAAGAGATGAAAGGGGCAGAAAAAAATATTTCTCTGTGGGCCAACTCCTCTGTCTCCAAAAACTCACATGCACAATGAGAGAAGTTTGGAACAGAAAGTTAAAAATTGAACTAAGTAATAATTGAATATTAAAAAAAAACCCAACCAAAACCAAGCAAAAAGCTCAAGAAAATATCTTCATCCAAATCTCAGAAATAGATTTTATTTGTACATATTGTTTCCTATTTTCATTTGACTTCCTTGGCAGGTAGCCCAGTGCTCCATCAGTGAGAGAGGAAAGGAAGTTACAGCATCACATTGTTGTAGGGATTGAATTTTATTGCTTTGCCATTATAATTAGGCAAGTATTAACTCAGTTAAATGAGGCACATTTTTTTAAAAGAATATACAAGTGGGAATTGTGACTTAGTCCTCAACTAAAGCCCCCAACAAAGTTTTATGGGAGTGAAGGAAAGAGATTAAAAATAGCTAAATAATAAAAGGTGATGCAACTTTAAAGGGGCACAGTAAGAATGGGAATCATTATTGGTGATTAGCTGACAACCAGCCTGAGGGGCAGCTTCCCGTTTTAGCAGTGGTCAAAAACCTGGCAGCAAATATCCAGCTGGATCTGCAAAAAAGCCATCCCGATAATGCAGAAAAGATGGGGACAAAGTGTCTACACCGAATGTGATTTATGGGGGAAAAGAATCCCAGGCAAATCTAAATGTCTGGTGGGATTCACAGAGTTAAATTTGGATGGCACAGAAAGGGAAAGTGCAGCAAGGCGAGCAATTAACAGTGGAAGGAGAGAAACACTGCTCTGACTCTAAAACATCTCCTCAAGTCATGTCCCATCCTGGTTTTGGGGGTTTCTGGTGGGTTGGGCTGTAGGACACGGCAGAGGGAGGAGGGCTCAGGGCGATGCTTGGTGGGGACAGCAGGGGACAGCAGGTACCAGGGAAAGGCTGCAGGAGGAAGGGGCTCTGCCACACTCAACTTCTGTGCTTTGAGCCCCAGTGCAGCCTCGGCTGAGCTGCACCAGCTCTGAGAGTAATGAAAGTGAGAAGAGTTAACCACCCTGTGAAAATAAAATACTTCAAATAAAATGTAAACTATACCTAAGGACAATTTCCTGCTGGGTGGGGAGGGGGAACGACAGGAAAATTGACATCAGAGATGCTTATTTGAATAGCTGGTCAGACTATGGTGCAAAACTACCAGACCTCTTCTTTTTTTTTTTTTTCCCCATTTAAACAAATAGGGTTTAGCATTTATATGCTTTTTACTGGCTTCATTTTATCTCAGTGCCTTAAAATAAAATGTTTTACTCTATGCTCCCATGAACACAGTGAGATTAAATGCTCTTTTTTTTTTTTTTTTTTTTTTTTTGTCCTTGCAGCCCTTGAGGCAGGAGAAGTTAAACGCCTGCTTCCCTAAATCCCCAAAAATTAAGAATAAAAAGCTCTGGTTATTTCACATTCTCTTGCAAACATACATGCACTTCTTTAAAGGGCTGGAAGCTAAAGTCAGTATTAATTACAAATCCATGGTGAGTAAACACTCACTTTACTGAAGAAACAAAAACTGAGCTTTTTAAGTAGTCACTGGATCAAAGAGGAGTGGAGATAAAAACTATTTCTCCTCTTACATGGAGAGCAATAAAGTGAATTGAAAGATTTTTAATGAACCTCAACTACTTTCAAAGTGATATATGAGTGATGGAGCTTAGTTGCTGAATCTAAATAAAAATAAATAATGACATTTGCTAACCAAATGCTCCCTTAATGATGACTCTGAGTCATCGCTTGATGGCAAAAATTCCAAGGAGAACCTGGTCAAGCACTAAAATATTTGTCTGTGTGCATTTTATTTCTGTTTCATAATTAGGAATCTTAACAGTCAAAAGTAATTGAATGCATTCAGGATCCCAAAGTCTGTGGGATTTATTATAGCAACAAGGGACTGGTCCAAGTTATTCTCTTGGAGAAGTCCTGGAGCCCAGGCAACTGGAGAGGAGTGAATATCATCCTGAGCTTTAAAGACAGAAAAGCAGAGCCAGGCAATTCCAGAGCAGGTATGCTAAATCTCAAATACCCAGAAAGAGATATTTACATATATATATATATATCTCACACAATACATTTCTAAGAAGCTGGAGGATTACAAGGTCTTAAGAAACCATCTCAGATTTGTCAAGAATAAACAAATCCTGTCAAAGTCATCTAGCTGATTTCTGTGGCAGGATAATCTAAGAAGTAGTGGATGTGATTTATCTTGTCTCTACTAAGATTTCTGGTGCTGTGCCCCATGACATTCCCATGAGCTAACTGGGGAAACATGAGCTATTATGAAATCACTTTAATGTGAAAGCAGAGTGAGCTGAAAAGTCCCATATACTGAGTGCTCTTCATTTACCAGAGGTTCTCTGGCCATCTGAAATGGATAATGAGGAAGCCAAGAGAAAGCTGTTTGTGTTTTGTGCTGTTCACCTTTGCATGAGTAACCTTCATGGAGAGCTTGTGCCTGTTTGTATGTGGGAATGAATCAAAGCTGAGACAAACATCTCTAAAATATTTTTTTTTAAATCGGGAAAGTAAAATTCATTAAGAAATCCCAAAGGATTGGACCAAGGACTGAAAAAGGAACAGAGTGCACACCCATTAAATGAGGAATTACTGACCAGGCAGTGATAGATTGGAAAGGATCTGAGGAATCAGAGCAGCTCAGAAAATGAAAGGAAGTCAATACCATGGATATCCATATGAATTAACAGGAGTGGCACATGTGGGACAGCAGGAATAATGCTCTGATTTCACTTGGCACAGCTTGGACTTTTAATGGTGCACATATCTGGGTCTGGGCAACATCTTTGAGAAAGAAATGCAAAGTGGAAAAACACCACTTGGGCAGCACTAAAAAACCCTGACAGGCATATTGAATTTATGGAACTGATTATCAGCAATTTACCTCTCCAGACTCGATGATCTTGATGGGTTCCTTCCAAATCAGCACATTCTGGGATTCTGGAATTCTGTGGTGGTGGGAGCTGCCAGGCAGTTCCTTGTTCTGCTGTTGTTAAGTGAGTGCATCCTGCTGCCTTTCCAGAGCTGGCTACATTAATTAATTAAATTAATACCGTTTTACAGTAAAAGCAATAAAAACACCAATAACCATGTGGTATCTAGAGCAAATATAATGCACCAGCTATGCCAAAGGGATAGACACAAGCCAGGGTAACACAACTGCTGAGGTGAAATCTATTCCCAGAGCAAATGGTTTGCACAATGCATGGATCAGGCCCCATCAGAGCCCTGGTGCTCAAGCACAGCATCAACCCCCCCTGTTTGGAAACTAAAATTTATCACCATTTATCCACTACAGCATGAAGCATTCAGGTGGCAGGAAGAACAAGTGGCTTCCAGTCCAGCTGTGGTCATTTAAGGACAAGTCCAGCTCCGGGTGACTCTTTTCTGTGATTCCCCTTTCTGTTGAATACACCAAGACAAAATGCCCCTCCTCCCCAAAAAAAAGCATGCTACATCCACATTCATAAAGTTTATCAACTTACAGACTCCAGGACAGGTTTATCATTCATTGTTTTGCACCAGTAAGCAGAGTAGTATACAAAAGCATGCAAAATCAGTTATGGTACAGAAAGAACCTGTAAAATTCAAGCAACTGGCAAGCATCAAAACCATTCCTGTTTTTCAAGGAAGAGGATTCCTGAGTTGTGTATTGTTGGCATTTTCAAAGACCCTGTAGTTGGGTGAAGCACACAGAAACAACCTGGCAGGGACATAACAAAACAGGGGCAAAATATTATCTAACACAAATACTCAGAGGCAAGAAATGATCATGGGGTGAAATTACAGTAGGTGGTGGGCTAATTTTATTTTGTTGAAAAGTACATCTTTGAACTGGATTCAACATATTAATAAGCTGAAAAGAGGTCCACTGGCGAGGGAGGAAAAAAAAAGCAAAAGTTTGGAAATACTTGACACAACTAAAATAAATGACAGCTTTTTTCAATATCCCATAGGCAGGCTGCAGAAGATGATGTTTCCCAGTATCCATGGAGAAAGTAAAGTCTTTGATTGATGTAAGTCAGTTTTTCACAAATGCTGGTCTGTTTAGTTAAAACCTGCACTGCTTGATTCTTTTAATAGATAATATAGGTAATATCTAGCTTTCACTCCAGACCCATGCTTTACACTCAGAATTTATCCATATTTAATTACAATTTTATCACACTAATCAAATAAATTTACTTTGTCCTCCAAGCAATCACCTCAGTATTTCAGTATGTAAAAAATACTTTCATTATGTTTATTATAAAAATATAAATGTTTCCACTACAAATCATTTTACATTAGTAAGAGGCCATCTACAATTGCACAATATATAGTCTAAATGAGTAAGTAATGCTTTTGAAATACAAGTTAAAGTAAATACATATTGCCAATCAAATCACATCTATACATTGCTTATTGGATGCTAAGTTACAGCACAAAAACTAGATTATGTTAACAGAAATAAATAAAATGGAAACTATATTGAAAGGTACAAACCCAATAATATGGCATGTCTTTTTATGAGCAGTTTGCATTTTGCTTGATGTCCATAACCTGTACAGGCAGATGGCCACACGACCTCTATTTCTCTACTCCACACTGAAGAATTGTACACTGCTATGTTTACATATGTACAGGGGGACAGGGAGTACAGGATGCTTGCAACAGAGGCCACTTACAGTACAAATCAACTTCTGACAGGGAGAGAAAACCAAACAGCTTTGTAAAAACTCTCAACTCCTAACAGCAAAGAAAAGCAAAACCCAGCTGCTTTATTTTTTCCCCTCGGTGAGATTAAATCTTTTATGTTGAGCATGCCTCAACACTGGGCAAGGAACACGACAGGACACACGGCAGGAGGAAATTGGGGGTATTGGTGCAAAGTTTTCAAGTGTTTAAAACTCTAGGAACTGTGTCTGTGTCTCCAGAAGCATTTCCCAGAGGTCAGCCCCACTTCAGTCCCTTGTCCCCAAGCTCCAGCAGCAAAATAGAGCTGAGAGAAATGTCACAAAAAGCTGTCCCCACACAGACAGTGTTTGCCACTGGATTTTGGTGGCTTAAGTTCACTGACAGCGTCTGATTTAGAGTAATCTCAACACGAAGAAAAGAAAGATCCTGAATGAATTAAGCAACACAAAACACAGCTTTTCTATCCAGCATGCTGCATTTCATGATAGACAGGGGCAGATAAGGGGAAGTGTTCCTTACAGCTTAAGTGCTTTATTTTACCTTTCTTCAATTTTTCTTTTTTTTTTTTTTTTTCATTTTAAAACCCATTCACTTGTCTTTCAGAAAGAATTACAAATTATTATGCTGTGAGTGTGTTTCAAATCCAGTCCTTTACAGCATGCTCACTACCAGCACTCATGAAAAAGCCTCTAACTCTGCTTCTCCTTAGCAATGTGTGATAAATGTTGTGCCTGGACATTTTGTAAGTCCTGGATTCATGCAGAACAATTTCAGCCCCACAAACCCTACTAGGAACTGATTCTTCCCTCACTTATACACCAAAGAGCTTCAAAACCCAAGCCAACAGAAGAAAGCACAACTCATTATCTGCTTTTTGCATGCACAAAGAAAACACAATGTGCCATTTTGTCATCTGCCTCTCACACAGTCTTGGGTTTCTGGGATTCATCAGAATCAGATCTAGATTCCAGAACGTCAGGTTGGGAAGCAGAATGGATTCCCCTGGTGACCAAGGCCTGCTGTCTGTGTGCCTGCCATCACATCTAGAGCGCTAAGAAGCACAACAAGTGGCTCTCACTGTGTTTAAAACCACTCATTTTCAGAGCAAAGAGTCGTGTTCTGCTCACAACTGGGACTGATGTGCCCCAGAGCAGCAACTTAGGAGTTGGGAAGCTCTCATGGCAGTGCCTCTGCAGGAGGGTTTCTAGCTCAGGCAGGTGTAAACTTCCTCAGCAAAGCCTCACTTCACAGCTTAACTCATCCTTTTAAACATGGGTCACTTCCCAGGGAATTCAAAAAGCATCATCAGTTGAAGCAGGATGCAAAAACACTCGCCCTCCTTTATATTTTCTTGGCAGATGTCTCACCTGAACACCACCCAAGAATAGGGCTCCTCATTGTGACAGGAAAGCAGCCCTGGGGGAGGAAATGGGATGTGCTGTTGGGGACAGGTACTGACCTAAAGATCAACACACACCCCTGTCAAAACCCCAGCCTGGCTGAAAACACTGCTCACAGCAAATGGAAGAAATCTCATTTCCAAAAAAAAAGTCCAGATGCTTTTCATAGTGTCAGTGCTGGAAAAAAGACCACCTTTCTTTCTTTCTGTATTTCATGCATGATGCTATGAGTGTAAAATCATCCAGTAACTAACCCTCAGACAATTTCTCAGGTTGAACCAATGAAGTCTGGATAACATTTGGCACTTGGCAATAATACAGCCAGGTTAAGGTATTTAAGCATAAATATAAACAATAATGGAAAAAAAAAAACCAAACAACAAAAAAAACCAAACCAAGAAAATAAATAAGCCTTTTAAAAATTATGACTTGTTTCTATTTAAATGAACACAGTTAGGGAAGCTAACATAATGGTAAAAACCTTTTGTCAACTAACTCAAAGTCACTACAAACTTTATTTCTGTGTTCCTTCCTGAAGTTGAAATAGCATGTTACAATGACATTATAGTAAATATGGCCAGACAGGTTGTGAGGTATAGTCCTCTATTTTCCTTGCTTTTAAAGAAATAAAATACCTGTTACAGATCTCTTCTGTATAAAAATACTGCAAGTCTTTCTTTCTTCTTGTTTGCTGTATAGATCAAATACACAGCTTTTATGTCCATGGTTTTTTCTGTTATTCAGTCACTGAATATTCAAATGGCTCTAGGTTTTAGTAACACTGGTTTTTACTTGGAAGGATTTTTCACATATTTTTTTTTTCTTTTGCTATTTACTATCTGCATTAACAGTCAGTCAAGAGCACCCACCCTTTAGGATTAACAGATAGAAAACAAGTTTGCTCCTATTTTTAAGGCATTTATACTCAGTATTTGAGTGTCTTGTGGGTTTGAAATCTTAACCATTGTGTTTCCAAAGCTGTTGCAAAGAACTCCTTTAAATTCTGCTGTTTATCAGCCATCACTTTTGACCTGCGATGCAACTTTCTTCCTTTCTTTTTTTCCTCTCCTGAGCAACATCATTTTGGTACCTTACACAGGAACAGGGCTGTTCTTTGTATGAGTTTCAAGAGCTTTGATACTGCTGACAATCTTCTTCTGAGGGCCCACCACTGTGACACCAACTTTCTTCATGTCACTGAAAAAAAGAGAAGGTGTGTGAGTGAGGACACCGAGTTTGCCAGCACTGATCTCAGCAAAGAGCAGTGAACTTGCCCATCTCACATTTCTGCACTGCAGGAGCCTCCAGGTACAAGGATATTGCTGAAATACAAGCCCTGGTGCAAAAAAACACTGAGAGCAACTGTCTGAAAACACAGGAGGGGTGTAGAAAACAGAGTGAAAACTCAGCCTCCTTGTGCTTGCTTCCCTGGAAGAAAAGGCAATGAAACTGTTCTCCAGTGATGCAAACACTGGGGTTTTGGGGCAAGGGGCTCACTGCTGGATCAGCTGAGCCCCTCTAACACCTCCATCCCCCTCCCAATCTGAGCTTTTCCTGGCCAGTGCTGACACATCAGTGCCCTCTGAACTCTGCTATCAGCACTGAGGTGAAGGAGTCCATGGTGTCTCCCCAAATTTCCACCTCTGGTTTGTCCAGGATCTCCAGTCTCATTGTTCCTTGTGCAGCACAGAGGTGGTTTAACACCTGTGAAGGGCTAATTAACCAGGGGCTCACAGGAAATTGGGCATTCCTAGAGGATTTCTACACTGTCCCCAAAGGGTAATTGTTACAAAAAGCCATTAGCACCCTTTTTATAGATGCAATAATACACTAATTAATAGCATTGATGTGTTTAATTGTTGGTAGCACAGCTGCTGCATACTTCTCCATAACTTGTGTATTCAGCCACCCAACTGGGAATTAAGATTTCCTTTGGCATTAAATTTTTAACTGTACTTGATGCCTTTTCAGGTGCAGAAAGAACATTACCCTACTCCTACTTGTCACTAGAACAATGATGGATTGCATTTAGAATGCAATAAATTTGCCATTTGCTCACTTCCAAGCATAGCAGGAGGGAATTCAGCCCCTGAGTAATTGTTAGCATGGAGGAGGAAAACAGCTACAAAGAATTTGCACCCTCACCTGGTTTGGTGGAAAATGGGATGGGCAATAAAGGGAAAGACTGGCAGTGTGCCAGCTGTAGAGAGAAATAAATATAAAATACAGAATTTAAAGAATCAACAGAGAAACTTCAGTGAAAGGAAGTGATGCTAGTGTACCAGATGAGGCATGGTGCTACTGTATTGGAAGAAATTGGGAATTTCCTTGTATTTAGTGAGAAAAAGCTGTGGGATCATGGCCTTCACAAAGTCACCAGACACAGATTTCCTCCATGGCTATTTCAACTACAACAAATAATTCCCATTCGTCTCTTTAAATGTACGAAAATTTTAGCTAAGAATTGGAAACGCCGTATAAAAGTGCTACCTTTATGCTTCAGTTTGAACTTGCAGCTATGATGAAAACTCAGAGCAGATTGCAACTTACTCTGTGGAAATCTTGGCTATGGTGTCACAGGAACTGTACTCCACCCCTGTGAAAATGTCCTTGCACTGCCCTGTCCGAAAACCATTGAGCCAATCCCCCGTGGTGCGGAAGGCTGAAATGTCAATGTTGCTTTGGTCCAGGAGGAGATTTGATGGCCTGAAATAAAAGAATAACGCAATGAAATTCAGGGAACAGGGAGAAACACAGATTTGTTTTGTATCTAAACTTAGCAGTGGCAGGGGCATCCAGGCTGGATGTGCCTTTGCTGTTTGTCTGTGGGAGTTCTCAGCTGCTGAGGCCACTGCAGGACTCTGACAAATGCTGTGTAACCATCCTGCTGAAGAGCACCAGCTTCCCCTGCCCGTGCTTAAACCACTGCAGCATTCACAAAGTGTATCAATACCTCACAATTTAATGTGCAAAGCATCAACACAGACTAAACTAGGTTATATTTATGTGATTCACCTAGTCCCAAACGTCACACAGACAATGCACACTCCAGGCTCCAAGTTGAGCGTGTTGGTAGAATTTCAAAATATTCATATCAAATATTCAGGATATTGCGGCCCACTGACAAATCCCAAACGCTGCTACTAAGTTAGATGCTTCAACAACAAGCAAAGTACCTTATTTTTATTGTTTTATTGCAGGCTTAAGGCCAGGCATGTGCTTAGCTGTGCTGTGCCTGCGACTGAACTAGAGAATGTTCAAAGCAGTTATGTCTGCAACTTCACAGCCTATTTTCTACCCCATAATTCTTCTTCCCTCTAGTAACCCACACAGGAGTCTGACTACTGCTGCTGAACCCATTTGAAGTGACTTCTGTCGCTGAAAGTGGTGAAAATGAGAGGTGGCTGGACTGACAGCATAATTTAAAGGCAGTGATTACACAGTGTAACAGGTAGGTGACAGCTACTGGAGCTGGAGAACTGATCTGGCTTGTAAAACACTCTCTTCACTCCAAACCCAAGTCATCTCTGTTCCTTGCTGGAACAAATAGAAATAGGAGGAGATTTTAAAGGCACCAAGAGAACCACATATTTAAACATAGTGATTTTAACCTCATAAGAAGCCTTGAAAATCCAAATCCTTCTCAATTCCAATATGTATTAAATGTCATCAAAATCAGCAGCACTACAACAGTATATCCTTGCAGTACACCTGACTTGCCCTGGAACCACATCAGTTACATAAGTAACATTAGTTACATCAAGACTTTTCCCTTTCATTTTTGAAGAAAAGAACAATGATTTTTGGTCACATCTTAAACAGCTCCTTTTACTTCTGACGTTTTCAATTCGATTCAATTGTTACCAATGAGCTGATTTCTTTCAGGCTCAGAAAGTTAATAAAGTCCTTTTTCCCTTCTGGGAATGCAGGGCATAATTAAATGTTAACTCCAAACACACACAATCAGTTTTCACCACGTCCCAGAGCTGTGATGTCCCTGATGGGACACAGAGCCCACCCAGGACTTTGATCACTGACACCAAATCTGGACTTCACATGCTGGGAACAGCCATCCACAGAAAGAAAAGCAACAGAAGACACCAGAAGCCTGCTCTGTCCTCAGAAGAGCAGCTCACTTCATGTACTGCTGGCATGGTCAAACCAAATCTTAGACACCTGCATGATACCCAGCTTTGAAGGCTTAGTTTGAGAATCAGGCCCAAGATAGTTTTAATCAGTAGCTGTAAGGCCTGAATTTCACTGACTACTGTTTGTCCAGTGAAGAGCCAATGGCTTTATTTATAGTTTTCTGGGTATAGTGTCTAGAATCCCAAGATATTAATTAAGAGTATTTATGAAGTGTTCTCAGTGATAAAGCACAGATTTTTTTTTTTTCCCAGCCTAGTATGCTTTTTTAACTTAAGTCTAATAAAACAAGGTCCGACTCAAGAATCACTAATGAAAAAAAAAAAGTATAAACAAGTTGAAATAGAACAGGTCTCTAGGATTAGGAATTAGAATGGCCCAAAAGAGCCTTTATGTTTATTACTTGGATCAAAGTATCATCATGACAAAAAAATATGACCTAATTTTAATGCGAGTGACCTCAGAGTAACCAGCACTGCAAAGTATCATTTTTCTTCTCGCAGGATTCCAAACAAAAAATTAGTTCCTTTCCTCCTCAGAGAGGACATCTGGACTGTTTATCAATGAGCAGGAATTCGCCTCGCTGCGAAGAGCCTGTGATGTCTCCTCGTGTGCACCAGGGGAAAGCTGGGCTTGCCGAGCATCTGCACACCCTGGCAGGGTTTTTCCCCCTGACCCAGCCCCTAGACAGAAGGGCTGAGCACGAAATTTATGGTCTGGGTGATGTGTGCCATGAGCTCACACTTTAGCAGACAAATTAGAGGGGCTGCAGCCCGTGCAGCTGGAAACGCCGTCCTGCAGGGCTCCACCTGATCCTTTACAGCTTTTCATAAATCAGTACCTACCAGCTTCAGAAGAGAGTCATTAAAAAGAAATCATGGAAATTACATGTTTGCTCAGGGGAAGTGAAATAGAACATTTCTCTCCATCTTTTCTTCTCTCCCCTCTTTTATTTATTTTTTTCTTTTTTTTTTTTAACTCTTTTTACTTTGTTGCTTTGACTATGATACACCCTCTCATACCATCTTTTGACAGTCATGGCAAGATTTTCTATCCTGCTCACCCTGACTGTTGTTGCATTTACTACATCTACAAAGTTGTATTTACTGACATGTGGTGCCCTGAAAAAAAACCCAGCAAGACTCAGTTTAGAGAGACAAAATGAACAGTGAGATGCCAGTTACAAAACATCCCGTGGCTGGAAGCTTTCTCTGGATGTGTCCATTACTTTAACAGTTGGAATTAACCTTTGAGCCATCTGCAGTGAGAAGAACTATGGTTTATTGTCATTAGCACAGCTTTTTGTAACAACACAGGGAAAAATTTGCTGCACTAACAAGAAAAAACACAGAAAACATCATTAGAGCCCTTCCCAATACAGCATGAAAATCTCCTCTCTGGTTGGCTGCTGTCTGGGGAGAAGAAGAGACAAACTAACTTGAAAAATCCACGAACTGAGACAAAGAAAATGAAAATGTCCTGCCACTTTTCTGCAAACACACAGAGGAGCTGTGCACACACAATCCCAGACTCTGAACTGTAGGAGCCTCTCTCTTTCCATCCCTTCCTCCAAACAGCACAACCAACCTTCAGTTTGTTAAATCTGGACTTTCCTTTCCACAGTCAATTTCTTGTAAAGAGGAAAGCATTAAAAAAAAACCCAACCCAACCCCAAAACATAAAGTAATTTCCTGTGGCAAATTTTAGGCAATTAAAAGCTGATTTTGTAAAGTGAAATTGCTCCCTATGAGCCTGGTTGGAAGACAAATCCTATGGGCTTTGTGATTATGGTGAGCTGAAGCACAGAATTTGAGTCTAACAAGAATTTTATTTCAAGAGAAAAATAACCCCAAAACCAAAATGTGGCACGGAAAGCAAATTTCAGTTTTATCTTCTACAGCAATCAGAGTCATATGCATACATGTGTATCAACAGGAAACTAGTAAATAAATGACATGCCAAGGAGAAATAAGAGTTTTTCTGTTTACTTGATTATCCCTGGACCTTAAAGATAAAAATCTTTGGAGTTCCAGCTCTTCATGCCCATTTTTAACATGCTCTTAACAGAATTGGTAATTTAGTCCCTAAAGTACAATTCACTTCTTAAAGGGGGCACATTTGCTTTTTCCAAGAGCCTTCATGTGTTGTTTTCATACTCTCCAAATAACCATGTTATGGGCTGCTCCTTGGAGAAATGAAGAGGGGCAGCACAAATAACCAAAGTAAAAACAATGCAGTTGAGGCTGCAAAAATGGTACACCTCTCTAAATGTCAATATTTCTTGTTTTGTAGCTCTATTGTTGGTAAAAAACCCAAAAACCAAAAACCAAACCAACCCAACTTACCATGGTTTCCACTAGGATAATAAGCAAATAAAATTTTAACTGTCCCAAAGGTCAATCCTTCAGTCTTCCCTACTCCTTTAGCTGCCCCTCAGAACATGATTTTCAATGTGCTTATATTTTTCAGCATCTTGGTGGGACAATAAATCACATGCCTGGGTGTATCAATGCTCCTTCATTTACTTTTTCCCAACACCAAACCACTGAAGGCAAAAATAAACCCAGCACGTTGCTGAATTTTTTTTTTCCCCCTCATAATACAGCTTAGTCTGTGCTTTTAAGGAAATACAGGCACATGGCCTTTTCCTGGCTGACAGACCCTCAATGCCAACCACTCATTATTGTTAGGATAGTCTTTAAGCTCCTCAGAACAGGCAGAGAAAAATGCTTTAAAAAGCTCTTAAAATCTGCCATTTGCTGTGGAGAGCTTCCCTTTATATCTCACTTTTGGCTGCACTGTTGTTGCCTGTAATCAAAAGAGAAAAACCCCTTGCATAAGGTTCAGAATAGTAAAGTAAAAAGCAGACCTTTATCTGGAAGCTTCCAGGTGTCCCAGTGGTGATGGGCACATCCAGAATCAAATTTCTGTGATTGTATAAGGTTAATTAATCAGGATATTTAACAGGAGATTCAGGTGTCCCAGTAACCCACCCCTGGGTCAGCCCCTCGGAGTTGGTCCAAGGGATTCTCTGCCCCACTTCTTATTGTAGGTCCCCTCCTTGGAATAAAGATAATTTAATTAATCTAAACAATATTTCAGAGATGTGTCTAGAAGGTCAGCTTCTTTGGATTGCTCCAAAATCTAGGGGAAAAAGGCAGGAAAAGTACTGGAGCTACGGCCATGCATTAGCAATCTAAATATAAATTTAGGCATCACTGTGAATTTCTACTTTTCTCACCTCTTTCCAGCATTCCCAATGTGGAATTGCCACCACCACTAAGGAGAGCAGCAAAACAAAAAAGCCTTGGAAATCTCAATAAAGAGCAAAACCTCCCCTCCCCATCAGGCCACCCGCTGGTCCAGCTGCATTTCTATTTAAATTATACAGCACCCAACCCTACCCTCTGTAAATTCCTGCCCGAGTTTCACCGAGTGGAGGCAAATTAGAGGTGTGAAAGTGCAAATAGATGTTTTACTGTCCCTGTTCACAGCCAGCCTCAGCTCCCTTCCATCCACTCACCTTGGAGGGACAATGGCTGCCCCAGGCTCAGTAATAA